AATCAGAACCAGCAAATCTGTTTTACCTTAATTTGCCTGATATATTTAGCTCTGCCTCTAGACATTTATGTTTTGACAATTGTATCCACTGGATAGTCTTCTTTGCAAAAATGTGTGCAAAATTGCTTAGGTCTTAAAATATCTGGTTATTCCTTCAATGTTTTTAACATTTTTAATTCTTCTTCCATTTAAACACTATTTCATTTAACTCTCTCCCCAGATTATTCTCTCACACATTCCTTTATATTCAGACTGATCATACCTATGTGAAATTTACTATTCTTCATTCTCATCTTCAAGAGATATCATATACAGCCATAGATCTTTGTTTGAAGAGAAGGTTTGGCCTTTAACTTGGTTATAGTAAGAGGTTATTCTGGTAGTCCTTTATACCTCATTTTTTTACATTCTAGCCATACATTTCTAAACCTAGAAACAGTATGTTATGCATAAATAAATTTAAATATATATAAATATATTAATTATATTAATATAATTATATTATTTGCATTAATTGTATTATTATATTAATATAATTAATTATATCAATGCAATTAATAAATGTTATGATTAATATATATTAACTTACTTCATAATTTAATAATTTTATTAATTTGAAATACTTTAAATACTTCAAAGGAAATGGTCTAAACTTTTTCATATTTTCATGTATTTCTTTAAAGTTCAGCCAATAGTCTGAAATTTTTTGGCCCTTTGTTCTATTCCACTGGGCTTAGTGGCTCTTGACCTCTGATATTCTTGTCAACCTGTGTAGCAGAAATTCTGTAAACATTTTCTAAATCAATGTAGAATAATGTCAAAGGCTAGGGAAGGAATAGCTTTCCTCTTCTGTCATAAAATGTCACTATTACCACACTTTATATTGCAGTACATTAAAATCAGCAGGATTTTTTTTTCTTTTTCCAAATTCTGAAAGTCTTTATCCATAGACAAGACTATTAGATAAAAAAGCCTCTTAACTCCTTAGGACCTTGAAAGATAGTATGTGTTGCTTCTTTTATTATCTTTGGTTATAGTCTTCTTAGCAGTAAATTCCCTTCCAAAGTGAATACACTTCCTAAATATCATTCTTACGTTCACTGTGTCATAATATTAAGCCACCTTCTCTCTCCATCTAAACCATGATATACATCACAAAAATCATCACTGGGTTTTGGAAGGAATTCTATAGGCCTTCCTCTCTGCTCTGTTTCTGTTCATTAAAAATCATTAGTGAGTGCTAAACTTGAGACAAATACTATGAAATGCTTTTTTTATAGTAATTCTCTTCTATTTTTGATGTTTCCCAAACAATTTCTTCCTTTCTGTAGACTAGAGTGTTCCCAGACCTCATATATACAGTGATTTCAAGCAGAGTGGACAGCCATTGATTCCAAAATGAGTGAAATAAAAAGTGTGAAGAACCATCTGGCAGTCTTTTAAACAAGTACCCCTCACAAGAACTCCAAAATGATTTAACTGGCCATCTCTATTTCTAGCTCAACTGGATTGTTTTGTCAGCATTCACCTACTGTCAATCAGGTGAATTTCTTCATTTTATACAGTGAAAAAATCAGATCTGTTTGCTTTGCATACTTTGTAGTCTCTCCCATTTAGAACTCACTTCAGGTATCTGGGAAGTTCACTCGTTGCTACCTGTAGCCAGAAGTATACCTGGAGTTCAGAATTCAGGTTTCTCCATTCTAGTGTGTATGTTAGCCCCAACTGCCCTCACATTATTTTATTTCTTCACTTAGTCATCATTAGTAAAACATCATTCGTAAAACTAAATATGTCACTGAAAGCAAATTGAAATAATGCAGCAGTCTTTCTATTTTTTCCAGTAGTACATGAGTTTTAATTCTAGATCTCATGCTTAGTAGTCTTACTTGCTCAAGGCCTGGACTCTACCACTAGGATGACACCCCCAGACTTGTGTGTGTGTGTGTGTGTGCCAGTCCTGAGGCTTCAGCTTTATTGCTAAACGCTATTGCTCTACCTCCTGAGCTACAGACCCACTGTCAGCTTTTAGATGATTAATAGAAGACGAGAGTGTCAAATTTAGTTGCCTGAGTTATGTTTGAGCCACAGTTCTCAAGTCTCAGCCTCCTGAGTAGTATTATAGGCATGAGTCCCCAGTACCCAGTAGCTAGCCATTTTTTAATTGGTTAGTTGCAAATGGAGACTTAAGAAGTTTTCTCTTCCAGTTGGCTTCAAATCATAATTCTACAGATCACAAATCCCTGAGGTGCTAATAATACAGATTAACTGGTCATGTTTTTCCTAAACAAATGTGATTTATGCACCTAGAAAAAAGTAAACAAAATTCTAGTATACCCTAAATTCTTATTCATAATTGCAACAATTTGAAATAAAAAGAGATTAAGTTGCTTCTGAAAGATCATGGAGTTAAAATGACTGACACAGCCAGGCACCAGTAGCTCACTTGTAATCCAAGTGACTCAAGAGGCTGAGATATGAGGATCACAGTTCAGATCCAGCCCAGACAGTAAAGTCCCTGTGAGACTCTTATCTCCAATTAACCCCTCAAAATAATCAGAAGTAGCATGTAGTTCAATTGGTAGAGTGCTAGGCTTGAGCACAAAGAGGCTCAGGCATAGTTCCCAGGCCCTGAGGTCAAGAAGTACAACCAAAAAAAAGAAAAAAGACTGGCAGGCCTAGTAAATGAAAACAAAACAAAAAAAAATTCTTCAGAAAACACTTGTAAGTTACAAAATAATAAATTATGGTTTTAAAATATTCTATATTAGAATTAACCCATGAAAATAAGAACGTTAGAAAAATTTAACAAGAAAGCCATCTTTCACTATTATTTTCAAAGAAAATGCATTATTTCCACTCTTCCATGATCATATTCATATAAACTATGTAAACACTATTTTTGTCCTGAAACTTCCTGATGAGACAAACATAGGTTATCTCTGGTGACAAACAGAATGATGCTATGTTGGTTCTTCATCACAACCATATCATCACAGTGTAAACTTAGAATGAATATTTATGTTATTTTTGGTAAATTACTGAAACATATCTCATGGGTTACTCAAAACATGTAATTTTATCTCAGTACTTCAACTTAAACTGTAGTTAAATGGCATATTTAAGCTCATTTTTCTTAACATTATAAATAGACCATTTTTCATCAACAAGCAGTTTCTATATTAGTTCTGGCAATAACACCTACTTCACATAAATGTAATAATATTTAAGAGCTGTTTCACTGTAGAGCTTTTAAAAAAATATTAATATTTATAAATTATTGAATTATTATATATTTCTTGGTAGGTTTGGTATCATCTATAAACAAGGAAATAGTCTTGAAACTGAAGATATAGTCAGAATTGGGGTGAACATGAGAAAAACTAAGGAAAATACAGGACCCCTAAGAATTGTGAAAATAGTTCTCTTTCTCTTCCAGTGTCCAACCCCTTTTGCCTTTTATTTCATAGCTGGAGTTACAGGTATAAGCAATCACAAAGGACTTGTTGAGATGGGGTGTGGCTAACTTTGTCTTGAATGATTATCCTTTTATTCTCTCCTCCTAAATGGTTGGGATTGTGGATGTGAATCTCCAGGCCAGACGATAGTCCTGGATTCTTGCAACCACTTTGGTAAAGCTTGGGTGCTTGGCAAATAAATAGTGGTGGATAAAGAAAATTTCTTTCTTTGTGTATATCATAGTCCTTATTTGGGATATTTTAGGGAAAAAAATTGAAGATTTAAAAGTTGCCTAAAAAGTCAGAGCATTGCTGTGTTTTATGATAAATTAAAAATAGTAGGACATGTCTCTATGTAATCAGAAATATTGTACAACACATCTAAAATATTTAAGCCATTTATTATGATGTGTTAATACTCTACTTTTATTCAGTTTACTAGGCCTTTTATACTAGCACATGAATGAAGCATTACATTACAGCAGTAGATGACTATGATGTTGCAGTATCAGTAGGTGACACCAATTCTGTAGCTTTCTAAAACCTGAGAATACTTGTCATTGACTAAAATATCCTTAGGCAGTGCAGCCTTCCTGGTAAGTGGCTGTATAGTATAACTTTTAGTAGTTAAATGTAGATTCAGCTTTTCCTGCATAAATGGAAATATTTTCTGTTCTTGTTCTGCATTAACTCTTAAATGTCAAAGCACTTCCATGAAACTTCATTTATGTCTTTATTTTTATTTTTATTTTTTTTTCAGTTGTGGGGCTTGAACTCTGGGCCTGGGCACTGTCCTTGAGCTCTTCCTCACAAGGCTAGCACTCTACCACTAGTGTCACAGCACCACTTTTGGTTTTCTAGTGGTTTATTTGAGGTAAGAGTCTCAAGGACTTCCTTGCCCAGACTGGCTTTGAACCATGAAACTCAGATCTCAGCTTCCTGAGTAGCTCAGATTACATGCATGAGTCACCAGTGTCCGGCTTGAAACTTCTTTGTAAAGACAAGGAAATCAGGAAGAGAGATTCTTTTATTCAAGTCACCCAGGCAGCAATGGTGTCACTAGGATTCAGTCATGTTTTCTGGCCCTGGATCCTGTGCTCTTAACAACTTAGAACATGCCAATGGATTTTCAGTTTGTGGAAAAGTTAAGTTTGAAGATCATCTGAGCAAGTACATTTTTCCTTAAATCCAAATTATGAAAACTCCACAAATGAGCATGAAAATGTCAGAAAAAAACAGAGAATACTAGTATGAAACTCACTTATAAAATAATATCACTAATAAAATACACAAATAGAAAATTACATAATCACCCTCTTTGTTTGTAAAGAATTTATTCTTTGTAATAACTGTCACATGGGTTCCTTCTCTGGCAACGAATGGACTATTAGATGTCTCTAGAATTGGTGCCACCTCGCGGCCACCTCTGCTCTATCTGGCCTGCAGTTAACCCTTCTCATCACCCGTTATATCAATGCCTGAAAGAATGCCATCCAGCTTCCTACTTCTCCAGGTGGTGACTGTCAAATCTTTCGAGAGTCATTATCTCAAACTTATCATTTGCATCAGTCTGGAGAAGAAAGAGACAGAGCGTTCATTGGCCAACCATGCAAGCTCTTGGTGGTGCTGGACATCGGGCATCCACAGCACATGTTCTTTGGTGGAGTCCTCTAGGAGGCAAGGCACCCTGACCGCTTCTTGGACAGGTTCTACATTGTCCTTAAGTTGCACTTCTAAACCTTTCTGCTCCCCCCTAAATTCAGTCTCCATGGGGCCTGAAATGGTGGCAGCAGCAGGGGTTTCTGTGTCTTCTGGCATCTTTCCCTGACACTCTGTGACTTCATTTGCAAGAAGCAACAGCAGCTTCTGCAGCTTTGCCTTCTTTTCCATCTTCTCCTGGGACATCTGGTTGACACACTCATCTTTCTCCTGAAACAGCTCCTCCAGGACTTCCAACTGTTCTTTACAGAAAACTATGGACTCTTCAATGGCGCTGAGGTGTTCTGACAGCTGGCTGCATCCAGGCAGGTTGTGGATGAAGCAGATTTTCAGCTGCTTCTTGGGCACCTGCCTGTCCTGCTTCTTGTCCCCAGACATGCCATGTTTCCAGCTCTTGGGGAAGAAAGGCTGTTTCTCCAGCTTTGTCTGGCATGGGGCTGTCAGGTTGGCCAGGAATCTGCAGCAGGCCTGCTGATCCTGCAGCTGCTCGCTGAATTTTATCTTTTTTGATTCAGCAACTGATGGTGCTTTAAGGTAAACATCCCTCCGGGTTTGTGGGTTGTCTACATCCTCTTGGAAAGTCATGTCAGGTGGAGTTGACTCCTCACCCTTTTCTTCTTCGTTGCTCACTCCTTCACCTTCCTTAGAGAAAGGCAGGAAGCTCAGCTGAACCTGCAGTTGCTCCTTCTGTAGTCTGGTTGCTTCCAGGCACCTCAGAGTATTCTGTAACTTTTGAGGCACCATCTGGTCCTTGAACTTGGTCTGTGTTTGCCCTTGCTTCAGCTGCTCTAGCATCTGGGTCTGCTTTAGCAGGTGCTGCTGCAGGGTCTCCTCCTCTGAGGCCAGCTGCTGATTGGAGGCTCTGTGCTGCTCACAGGTGGCTGTGAGCTCCTGCAAGTGGGCCAGGCGATGGTCATGTAGCTCCTGAAGATTCTGAACCACTTGGCTTTTTATCTCAGCCATCACTTTCCATTCTTGTAACTTCTCCTCTTGCTGCTCTAGCTTCTCATGCAGATGTTTCTTCACCTGACGCTCTGTGTTCAGGATGCTGGTGAGCTCCTCCTTCTCACCACTCACCCTGTGGAAGGCATCCTGCATCTGGACCAGTTGATCTTTTAGCTCTGTGTTGTGCACATGTACACACTTAAGGCTCTCAAGGATCTGGTGCCAATTCTTGGCATACTGATCCCCATCCTCAGCCTTCTTTTCGAGTCTCCACAGCTGCTTCTGCTGCTCCAGGCTCTGGTTTTCCTGTACCTGGATGTGAAGTTGTTGCTCCAGGTTCTTTAAATTATTCTGCATCTGGAAGACCTGGGCCTGCAGCTGCTGCTCAGCCTGAGATGGTCCTGCAGGGGGCTGCAGCTCTGCTAGCTTCTTTCTCGGTTCCATTAGGTTGGTCTCTAAAACTAACACCTGCCCCACCCCTTGCTTTTTCTCCTCTCCCAGTCCGTTCTCCTTCCACGTGGACTTCTCCTTCCTCAGATCCTCCACAAAGTTGTCTCTCTCCAAGTTTAATGTGATCGCTAGCCTTTTCAGATTGTCTAGCTGTCTTTTCAGCGCTGCCCGCTCTACTAGTGCTTGCTGAAACTTGCGAATTCTGTTCTTCATGTTGATCTTCTGTGTCTGGAGCACTTCCAGCTTCTCCTGTAACTGAATGTTCACTTCCTGCAGGTCATCATAGCTTTTGGACTTTTCCTGGAGCTGAAGCTTCACATTATTTAGGTCTTTCATGAGCTGTAGGTTCTTCTTTTCAGTCTCATTCTGCATGGTGGTGATTGCGGACAGTTTCATCTCTAGCTCTGCAACGTGTTGCTGTGAAGCCTGCAGGCGGCTGGTAAGACTTTCATGTTCCAGTTCTCTTTCATTGGTTACCTGTTGTGTGTGGGCCAGGACAGATTGTCAATCACATTCTGTTGAAACCAATATCTCTGTTTTCAGTGCTTCTTGATCATGGGCTATCTTCTCATTCTCGTTCTCTTTTTGATCCTGCAGGTGTTTCTTTTTCTGCTTCAGTTGTTTGACCTCACTGCAGAGATGTTTATTTCTTATTTTGCTGGCGTCCAGGGCAAGGACCAGGTGTTGGTAACATCTTTCCAGATCCTCAGTGTTATTGGGACCTGGGACACTCTTGAGGCTGGTGGCTCTAACTGCCCAGAGGCAGGGCAGGCTCAGGGTGAGTGTGATCCTTGGTTGCACCCTCAGTTGAATTACAATCCCCAGTGGTGTTTGTCTTGGGGTTACCTCACTTTTTAGTTTTCTTCTTTTTCTTGAATTTTGCAGGTCCATCAGGGCAATTCTTCTGGTATTTTTGCAGTAGTATTTTTCCTCAAGCTATTTTTTTTTCCTCTTGTTTGTTCAGACATCCTAGCGCTGGGAAAAGGAAGATGGGGGAGGCCACATTCCCAGGCTCTCTGAAATCACTTCTATTCTCATAGTCACTAATAACTATGTCTATTTCCTACTGTATCTCCAAATCACCTCGATTCTCTCACCAACCACTCAGCCACTTCTCCCTTCCTCAACTGCTAGTAGTGGGCTAAGACAACAGAGAAATCCTGGTTGACTAGGCAGCATGGAATGTGGATGTGGCGTCAATTCTTGTATCCCATTGGTCAGAAAGAAACATGAACTAATAGGGAGCTTAGCCAGAATCTTGTGATCCAGGCAGAATGGGTGGAGTCATGATGAGAGCTGCTCCTTCCGCCCGGGCCCCACCTAACTCTCTCCAGTTTGGTTGGGGGGAAAGGGAGCCTGCTTTAGGTGGATAGGTGCACAATTTTACATAGACCTTTCCTGGCTTTTCTCACACAATTGTGGCCACCAGTGTTTCCCCTAGGCTTTCAAATGTTCTCCAGGAAGTGGTACCAAGAAACAGCTCTATCTGCCCAGGTCCAGTGTCTCCCTGTTGTCACTCCATGCAGAAGTAGCTCTATTGTTATCATCATATTTGCTGACACTTCTAGTCCAATCAGGGAGTCACTGAGGTTGATAATGCTCTTTTTTTATTCTTGTTTTAGAGGTGATGTGCACACATACATACGCCAGGTGATAAGTGCATCTCTTTCCTTTTTTCTTGGTATCATCTGTTCCATCATTCTCTCATTCCCTCACTCCCTTCTCCCCCCATGAACTGCTTGGTTCTTTCATCAATGCTCAGTGCATCTGATGGCCCCTCTGCTGCACATTTTTACTCACTTTCCACTGATTCTGTGCCTTCCCCCAACCTTCCCACAGATGTGCATGTATATATACCGTATGTGAGGTAAAGAATACAGAGTCAACGAAAAATGATCATATAAATTTTTAAAAAGATCATTTGTTTCCTTATCTTTGGAGTTTTTCAGAATGTATATTATTTTATATACATATAAAGAGGAGCGAGGGTATTACAATTTGGTGCTTTTCTCCCAAGACTACTTTCGCTAGTCTTTAGGTCTCACTGTGTATGGGTATCTAGAATCCTGTTTACCTTGTCATATCTCATTGCATGTTAAATCTAACATTCCCCATATCAAGGAGAACATATGCTGTATGTCTCTCTGATCTTGGCTTACTTTGATCCACATCGTTTGTTCTAGTTCCATCCATTGATCTGTGAATGCCATTATTTTATCCTTTCTAATGGCTGTGTAAAATTCCATTGTATATAGGTACCACATTTTTTGATGCATTCATTTATTGTGGGGCATCTGGGTTGTTTCCATATCTTGGCTACTGTGAATAGTTCAGCAATGTACTGCAAGTGTCCTTGTCATGTCCTGGTTCACATTGCTCAGGGTAAATACCTGAGAGGGCTATTGCTAGGTCATGGTGATTGCTTGGTTTTTGGAGGAAATGCTAGACTGCTTTCCTGAGTGGATATATTAGTTTACATTCCCACCAGTAGTGCAATAGGATTCCTTTTTCTCCACATTCCCACCAGTATTTGTTGTTTTCTAAATTCAGAATATTGGCCAGGCTAACTGGGTATCTAACTGGGTTGTTTTGATTGGCATTTCCTTCACAGCCAGTGATGATGAACATTTGCTGATGTGTTTCTTTGCCTTTTTTTCTATCTCTTCTTCTGAGAAGTCTCTCTTTAGCTCTCTTGCTCAATTGGTGATTGATTTATTAGATTTTGAAGGGAATAGTTTTTTGAACTCCCTATATATGTTGATAGTAGGTTTTTGTCTTATGTATTGTTAGTAAATAGCTTTTATCAATTGATTGGCTCTCTTTCTAGTTTAGTAGCTATATCTTTAACTGTGAAAAAAAGGATTGTTTCCTTGATTTCCCTTTTTGATTGTACATTGTTGGGGTATAAAAGCACAACTGATTTTTGTGGGTTAATTTCGTATCATGTTTCTTTGCCAAAGTGGTTTATAATAAGCTCTAGGAGTTTGGGTGTGGGGTTTTGGGGATCATTAAGATATAACAATATCATATCTGCAAATAGGGATAGCTTAATTTCTTTCTTCCCTATGCATATCCTTTTAATGTCTTTTTTTGCCTTATTGCTCTGGTTAAGGGTTCTATAACTATATTAAAAAGGAGTGGAGAGAGTAGGCATCCTTGCCTTGTTCCTGATTATAGGAGAAATTATTTTAGTTTTTCTCCATTTAGTATGATATTGATTATTGGTCTGTTGCATATGGCTTTTATTGCTTTAAAGAATATTCATTTTCTTACAGGCACAGGCAGGAATTTCCTGAACAGAGTCCCAGGGTCACAACAAATTGAAGAGAGACTTGGAAAATGGGACTACTTTAAAAGAAAAAGTTTCTGCTCAGATAAAGAAATAGCAACCAAACTAGAAAGACAGCCAACTAATTGAGAAAAAAATTACCAGCACTATATCAGACAAGGGCCTGATATTCAGTATATACAGGGAACTCAAGAAACTAATCCCTCCCAAGCCTAACAAACCAATTACTACATGGGCAATAGAATTAAAGAGAGACTTCTTAGAAGAAGAGATTTTAAAAAAGGCAAAGAAACACATGAGGAAATGTTCACCATCTCTGGTTGAACAGGAAATGCAAATCAAAACTTCCCTGAGATACCACCTTACCCCAGTCAGAATGGCCCACATCCTAAATTCAGCCAACAATAAATGCTGGAGGGGATGTGGAGAAAGAGCAAACCTATTACACTGCTGGTGGGAATGTAGACTATACAACCACTTTGGAAAGCAGTCTGGAGGGTCCTCAGAAAGCTAAATATAGACCTCCCTTATGACCCAGTCATACCACTCCTAGGCATCTATCCTGAGCAACAGGAACCAGGATACAAGGACACATGCACTTCCATGTTCACTGCAGCACTGTTCACAATAGCCAAGATATGGAAACAACCAAGAGGCCCCATTAAAGGTGAATGGATCCAAAAATTGTTGTGCCTATATACAATGAAATATGATGCAGCCATCAGAAAGGACAAAATAATGGCTTTCACAGGAAAATCGAGTGAACTAGAAAAAAATCGTGTTGAGTGACGTAAGCCACAAGCAAAAAGAAAAAGGGCACATGGTATCTCTGATACGTGCATGTTAAATCCAAAATGTAAGGAGATATGACGAAAAAAACAAGACTGGATAAACACAGGACCTCCACTCATCTGATTGTATCATTACCAAAAAACCCCATTCTGCTGACCACATATATGGTATGTATATGCACATTGGAGGGAAACTAGGATGAGGATATAGAAACAGAAGGAAATGGGAAAATATACAACAGCGGGACCCATCAGCTGAACTGAACACGGATAAAAATGATCTAAGCAACTCAAAGGAAGGGATGGGAGGGAGTGAATGAGGAGGAAAGATCGGGAAATGAGCTGACACTAAGCAAAAGGAAAGAAATGTACAAAGCACCTGATGTGGAAGAAATATCTGTATTTTTAAACTCATAGAATTCACAAACTTTATAGACCATGATAAAGACAATTTGCAACATGAAGGTTAGTATGTGTTTGTGACTTTAACTAAGTATCACTATCCTACAAGACTATGAAATTCGTGAAATTTATGTAATCACTTCATCACAAAAAAATTGACTATCGGAAATAAAATACCAAACAACAAATATTAGAGTGAGCAAAAACAAAAAGAATATTCAATTTATTCCTAGTTTCTCCAGAACTTTTAACATGAATGGATGTTGTATTTTGTTGAAGGCTTCTTCTACATCTATTGAGATGTTCTTATGGTTCTTAACCTTGGATTTTTTGATGTGGTTGATTATATTTACTTATTTGTGTATCTTGCATCTGTGGACTGAAGCCTCCTTGGTCATAATGTATAATTTTTAAATTTGTTTCTGGATCCTGTGGATTAATATTTCATTGAGGAGCTTTGCATCTGGGGTCATAAGAGAGATCAGTCTGAAGTTCTTTTTTTCTTGGATCCTTACCAGATGTGATGAATGGAATGAGTGTGATATTGGTTTCATAGAATGGGTTTGGGCAAATACAATTCGTTTAACTAGGGATACAGGTGGACCCATTGCAACAATGAGATGTACAAGTCGTTATGTCGAAAAACAAACTTTACAACTTTGGTGGGGGGGAGGATCAGTTGGGGGAGGTGTGGAGAGTATGGGAAGGGATGGGAAGGGTAAACAACGAGGAGGCAACAATGCTTGATAAGAAATGTACTCATTATCTTGCCCATGTAATTGTAACTCCTCTGTACAGTATTCTCATAATAAAAAAAAAGAATGGGTTTGGGATTGATCCTTCTGCTTTTTACAGAAAAACTTGAGGAGCATTGGTACCAGTTCCTCTTTTAAATTCTTATATAACAGAATGCT